ACCAATTTCGCACAACAGTGTCAATGCTGTGTTGTTGCTCATATACATTTTTGAAAATTGACTATTTTGTGAATGAAGAATTGAAAGACCAGTATTGTTTGAACATATTTGATCAATAGTTTTCTGGAACATACTGTTCCAAAAAAATATACAGTTTGTTCCATTTGCTTGTTTTGATTTTGTGTCAATTGTTTGTTTTGCTAAGGATGTCCTAACAGGGTTTTGTATGCCCGGTATCCCAACCTTTTGGCTGTTTTATTAATGGAGTTGTGCCCATAAAATTCTAAAGATTGACTAAGAAATTACTCAGTGAGATAAATTATATATGCCACTATGCATGAATATAAAATAAAATAAGTTAAAGTTTGATATTGTTTTGTTGTTGTCCCAAATAATTAAAAATGCTGCATCATTGAGCAATGGCGCTGCTTGCCGCCTGTGTGTCCCATACGGCCGATGTGTTCTTACCTTATATTCCACAGATGTTGGATCGCTTTTCTGTATTGGTCAGTCCATTTTTACTTTTCATGCCATATAATCGAACAATTACTGGTAAAGTGGCAGTTTTTTTTGTTTGTTAAAAATATGATGCGACTGATCGTTTTATTTTGTCCGTTTTCATGCATTTATATACTATTACAAAAATATCATTAACCATGATTGCGTGTTGACTTAAACACAGGGCTGAACATCCCTGCCGTGACAAAAATGTACAACGCTTGAATTCTTGTAACTGAAAGAAAATATAGCTCTTTTTAATATATTACTGAAATATTGGCTAAACAATCATTAATTTTCATATACATGCAATATAAATAATTGAAATGCAGACATTATGTTTAAATTGCCAAACTGCGTAACATATTAACATTTATAATTTATTTAACATTTAAATATCATACTGTGTTTATTTAAAGCTATCAAATAAACGAACGCATGAGCCACAATTTACTACTTAAGGCCCGGTCACACAGCCCTCCACGGGCGTATCGCGGCCGAATAACGGCCAAAAATTTCTGCCCGTGAAGCAGACGCTGTTGGACGCTTTGAGGTCGCGATAAAGACGCGATACAACCGTACTTTACCCGTCGTTACACGCGGTAAGAAATTCAGACGCGGTTGGCCGCGCGAAAAAGTTTTGGGCTGCCCAAATCTTTAGACCGCGGGTAATCGCGGGCGGTACACGTGGTACACACGCGGTAAAGACGCGGTACAGACGCGGAACGAACGTGCTAGGACGTGCTACGGCCGCGGTTAAGACGTGGTTACACGCGGTAGGACGCGAAATTTTAGCGGGTAATCGCAGGTGGAGCACGGTCATAGCACGTTTGTTCCGCGTCTGTACCGCGTTTTTATCACGTGCATTAGCGTGTGTACCGCGTGTAAGCACGGACAAACGCCTTTTTCCGCGTAAACAGCGCGCCCCAATATCGGCCTAATCACGTTCAATTGCGTCTTGTTCACGTCCCAAATACGATTGTCGACGGCCTAATCGCGTTCGTACAACGTCTGATTTTAGGTATAAAAGCGCGATTTGCCGAGCATTCGTCAGTTGTGCTCCAGACGTCAAGGGGTGAACATGGATCCCCGTCACCGTAATGACCTCGTCTTGCTGCTCACCAAGTTGTACAGGTCCATCAGCTCCTCATTGACAGAAGAAGACGAAGGAGGAGGAGGAGGGTGGTGCGGAACATCTAGGTGCGCGACTGGATTGGCAGGAGACCTGAGCTGGGGCTTGATCTTCACGGGACTGTGTCTTGAGTGGTTATGATTTCTACAGCCCGGTTCGGCTGCTTTATTATACCCGTGGTAGGCCGCGGTACCGCCGCGCTTCATTCGCGATAAGGACGCGGAACAGTCGCCGGCGTCTGTTCTACGGGCATACCACGGGTAAACCGCGGGTAAGCCAATTTTGCCCATTTTCCACCACGGGCAACCGCGGGCAAAAAAAAATCGCGAAATTTTACCCGCGATACAGACGCGAAAGGCTGTGTGACCGGGCCGGCGAGCATAAGTTTCAGTTCGTAAATTTATGTAAAGCTACCTGTAATTTAAACATTATGTTATATGATGGTTTGATGAAAACGTTTTATAAATACATGTATTTCGGGAATTTCTATCCTGTGTCGAAAAAATATCACAACGAGCCATAGATATAGTGAGCGAGACGACATGCACTGACTGTGGTAAGTAGAAATTGTGTACGCCGTAAATTGATAAAAGAGTGCATATTTTGACGTCAGATCCAAATAAAGTTTTCTCGGTGACGTCATTTTCTGCACTATGTTGCTTTTCTCATCAGGCTGCCCAAATGTCATTTCAATTCCGTAAAATACACTACAAAACGAAACGAAAAGTGTTTTTGATTTGCTTCACATCCGAGTCTACATTTGCTAGCACGCGGCCATTTCAATTTAATATGCAACAATTGAGAAAGTGTAATGGCTAGTGTAAAACAATCGTAAGAGAAGGGTCTCTCTTTTATCATACAATCTCTTCGCCGACTTGGCTATGTGGATATTATGATGACCTAAACATTAAGCTAGTCTGACTTTTCTTATATCCCACAATTTAACTCTTGTCAGTTACACGAACAGAACCGAAGTGGGATCGGATATTTAAATGAGTTCTTTAGTGTATTCATAACTGACAGGTCAATAAAATCATTTTTACTGTACTTATTGCCATAAGGCAAGAGACACAAAAGATAGCTTGAATTTGGTCAATGAGTAACTTTTTTTGAAACTCTGTCAAAACACGTGGATAAGACGCTTTGATCCCATAACGCTTCCCCACCCCCTTCCCTCCAGTCTCTACTACAACCACCCAAAATATATTTACATTTGGTATTCATAGCAACAACTATATGACATTATTAGGATATTTTCACTATTCCTCTATAGTATTTACTATTATAAAGGTATAATGAAAACTGCGTGTTTTCGTGACAGAATATGATTTAATCTGCTAATACATCTAAACACTGTGCAGACTGTATGATTGTTTTAAAATAAGAAAATGTACAAGCACAAAAAAAATCTCAGCGATGGCAACTGCTGATAATCTTAAATATTACAGTTTTAGTAAACCAAAGACACTTCAACAGCAAACAAAAAGTAAATAAATAAAAACAAATATAAAGTTACAAAAACGCACAAAAACGAATCGGGAAGAGAAAATAACCCCCAAGAAACGCGATTATCATTGGTTGCTTTTCCAACCATTCAAATCCATTTAATTAAGAGTACAGGCTTTAGAATAATTTATAATCAAAACTTAAATATTATTTTAGCAAAGTATTGAGCTATATCTTACAAGGATAGTTAAGGTATGTATGTTTTAAGTTAAGTTGATACATGAAAATCTGCATACTTTCGTAAATTTGATTTAGATAATTAAAATAAGTATATAATAATGGAAATGATATTTTTGATGATGTAACTAGAATAAGAAATTATCACCATTGAAATCATAAATTTGATTATTCTTATAATAACTAGAATAAGTATAACTATAATTGTAAATATTAATTTGATAATTTTGATCATTACCAGAATAAGTATTATCATCATTGAAATTAAAATTTGATAATTCTGAAAATTACTAGAGTTAGTGTTATAATCATTGTAAATATAAATTTCATACATGTAATTTTGATAATTTCTACAAAACAGAATCTTCTATTCTGTTATGATCATTAATAGAATAAGCATTATCACCACTGTGATTCGATTATCATAACTGTTATTGATGATGAAAATTTTGATAATAATACTTTTGACCTAAAAAATGAGTTTCAATACTTTGTTCTATTGCTCATAACAACTCCAAGAAAAATATTTATTATATAATATTATATATAAATATTTGTAACTACAATATATTTGAAAGTTAACTATGATAGGCATCCATCAGTATACCAGGTTTATGAGATTATTTTTATGTATCAGTTCCATGTTTATTGAGATACAAACCATTTATGGCGTCATAATATACTCTGTTTAAAGACAAAAGACGAGAAGAATACAAGATGAAAGTAGCTGTTTTTGCAGTTTTGGCCTTTCTATCCTGCTGTTCTGGGACTATAGACGGAGGTAATACATTATGTATGGGTAAAACCAGTTGTAATGTCGATAGCTTACAATAGTTATAACTATAAATGGAGTTTCGATAAGTGAGTAAGGAATATGTATGGTATTTTAAACACTGTCTTGTTAAATAATGATTCTCCACATTCTCTTGATGCAAATTAAGGTCCTGGGTAAAAATACCATATGACTGCATTGTTATGGTAGATAAATTTCGCTCGCTGTCAATATGAAATGCACCTTTCAAAAAGGTTCCTTTTAAAAAAAGTTGCATTTTGATTGCTGAAACGGCTGTTCATATCTAGTATTTTATTCTTATAAATAGCTGTATGTGGATCGTACGACCCTAGATTCAAGATTTGTTGTAACGGCGTCCTAAGTCATAAAGGATTAAACAGTGCATGTTGTGGAACAATACCGTACGACCATAGATTGAAGATTTGTTGTAACGGCGTCCTAAGTCATAAAGGATTCAACAGTGCATGTTGTGGAACAATACCGTACAACCATAGATTGAAGATTTGTTGTAACGGCGTCCTAAGTCATAAAGGATTCAACAGTGCATGTTGTGGAACAATACCGTACGACCATAGATTGAAGATTTGTTGTAACGGCGTCCTAAGTCATAAAGGATTCAACAGTGCATGTTGTGGAACAATACCGTACGACCATAGATTGAAGATTTGTTGTAACGGCGTCCTAAGTCATAAAGGATTCAACAGTGCATGTTGTGGAACAATACCGTACGACCATAGATTGAAGATTTGTTGTAACGGCGTCCTAAGTCATCAAGGATTCAACAGTGCATGTTGTGGAACAATACCGTACGACCATAGATTCAAGATTTGTTGTAACGGCGTCCTAAGTCATAAAGGATTCAACAGTGCATGTTGTGGAACAATACCGTACGACCATAGATTCAAGATTTGTTTGTAACGGCATCCTAAGTCATAAAGGATTCAACAGTGCATGTTGTGGAACAATACCGTACGACCATAGATTCAAGATTTGTTGTAACGGCGTCCTAAGTCATAAAGGATTCAACAGTGCATGTTGTGGAACAAGACTGTACACACCGACCTTTAACAGTTGTTGTAATGGACATTTATGCTAGAAGTCTTGTTAAGTACGTTTATGCATTTACAATACATTCATTGCTTTGGAAAAGAAAACAACAACAGCAACTTTTAACCTAAAAGTTCAATAGTTGAAAACATTGGAACACATAAATATGTTCAGCTTTTTCATATTGATGTAATTTTATTGGTTTAAAAGCAAATGATCCATAACAATATATTATGCTGTTATTTGATCCTCCAAAACGAACATAAAATTAATGATACATTCTATTTCCCATATGCATGTAATACTTTAGAATTAAATAGAGGATATTGAATGAGTGTAAGTTCAATACTGAATTTATTGCACGAGTTGAATAAAATTATATTATGCGAGCCTTTGGCGAGCATAATATTATTTTATTCAACGAGTGCAATAAATTCAGTAATGAACTTACACGAATTTAATATTCTATTTATCACATACCCAAAATAAAGACCGTTTAAAGTGAAATAAGAGTCATTTTTCATTGACGCGACTATAGTATAACGCTAACATTTAGCGCGTCTTTACACTATGTTTGTATAATGCTAATGATGTCACGTCAAAATATATGCACGGCCGTGCAATACCATATTTACGGAGTCGCAAAATCGGTACGGGTGTGTGATAACATTATTTTATCACACACCCGTGCCGATTTTGCGACTCCGTAAATATGGTATTGCACGGCCGTGCATATATTTTTACGTGACGTTATTAGCGTTATACAAACATAGTGTAAAGACGCGCTAAATGTTAGCGTTATACTAAAGGCGCGTCAATGAAAGATGACTCTAATTTCACTTTAAACGGTTTTTATTTTGGGTATGTGATAAATAGGACATTGAATGAGTGTGTAAGTTCAATACTGAATTTCTTTCACTCGTTGAATAAAATAATATTATGCTCGCCACTTAACATTATTATATTGCATGTGACGTCGCTTTCCGAGGACAGTTTAGGCTGTTTCGTATATTGACTGATAGAAGGTTCCAACAACAAATAACCGACGGCAAAAAACTTGTCGTGGTACTAATACTTTACAACATACAATGAATAAGCGCGGCATAGTATAGTGAGACATCAGAAAAACCTGCGTTGTATATTGATGAGACATAAGTCGATATGATTTCAGACGTTGCAATTACATGTCATTCCATTTGTTTTCAAAAGGCGTAAATTATTTTCACAAGACATTCTTTTCAACATTGATTCATATGAACTGAACAACCTTCAATAATGTAATTTAATGCTTTTTTAACCTTTCCTGAGGGCTCACCCTACTTTCAGATTTTTCAATTTCCGAATTATTTAGAGGTTAATATTTGCTTGTTGATGGTCATTATGCGATACAATATGGCTCGAAATTGTCCATAATGGGCTTAAAGAATTTGGGTGCCATTATCGCATATGACTAAGAGCAATGAAATGTTTTGTTTTAATAAACTATTCAAGGTCTTCCATGAAATGCTGCGTTTAGACATCAAAACGAATCTTGGTTGTCATCGTTTCTAAGATAGAACACAGTTAGCGTATTTTGACCGAAATCCTTTCCGTGTATTATAACCATTTTCTTGCATATCAGACAGGATTATAGTATTCAACGTTCTAGAAAGAGTCGAAAAGTTACGAACGCCAATTATTTGGTTCTAAAAATACGAAATGGCGAAAACGAAATGAATACCTGTTAACGATGTTCCGCACTTTGTTATAATCGCACGTCAATAGACATGCTTTAAATGATTTTGATTGTCGGACATTACTTTTTCAATCGCAATGTTACCGAAGTAGACGTTATATCCCAATTCTAATGAAATAATGCAGGGCTTATTCAAACATTTTTCTAATGGTGTAATCACCTTCTAAAACGTTTTTATAGATTTCCCCTTTAAACATTAGACAGTTGTAATGGAATTAGAATCTTTCATACAGGAGAAATAATATCTTGTACACTTTAGATAAAAATGTATCGGCAATTCCAGATCGTTCACAATATGACTAAAAAGAGATAAAGATGTTATACTTAGTATTACCAAGTTGGCAAACTTTATATTAACATCGCTGTAAATGAATAGACTTGTTCTTACTGCACTTAAAGTTACCCTTAATACTATCACAGATACCTCTTCGTACAGTTTTAAGGATATTTCATACACTAGTACAATAAAATACATCGGGTGTCTTCCCAGTTTGAGTTATCTGTCCTTGAAAGTGAGAATTATTTTTATTCAATAGGTCATTTTCAATAACATAAAAGAAAAATAAAGCATATAAATATCTAATTTCATTTTTTCACTCTCAGACAATTTGTTTAATTTAAATCAATTTGATAAATGAACTCACAACATTTTCTTTAAAAGGGACATACATTGTACCTGGAAAAGGACATAGGTAAATGTTCAACAGAATAAAACCCGTAACGTAGAATTCCAGCAAATTCTGCTGAACACTGACAGGGAATAAAGCAACAACTTACATGATCCATAGCTCCTCCTAAATTATTATAATACATCAAAAAGCGTACAAACGTTACAGCTTATAATATCGTGAGTTTCTTGCGCCATTTTATTCATATTACACCAGAGATGTTGTACAATACACTGATGTATGACTATTATGCCTTGACATATCCGTTCATTTGCCCGTGAATTGGTATTATAATGTGCCATCTCAGTGTCTATGATAAGCTGTCGTATTCAGTGTTTTCAGCGCTTTGATTTTATTTGTGACGTTTACGATATCATTTTCTTTCAAATGGGGCATTAAAAATAAATAAAATGCATTAAGAACGAAAATACCCATTAATTTGTTTTCGTCATCTGAAACAGTGAACATTTTGTCAAGTTTTTTATGATACTGTAGTGGCCCTTGAAATTTCCAAAATTTAATCTTTGAAAAAAACTAAAATTTGTATAACGATTTAACATTTTAATTAAAGGCCCGTTTAGCCTCGGAAATGAATACTAGTATTTTCTTCTTTCTATTGAATGGGCAAACTTGTGTTTTATAATGTTCAATTAATTTGATTTTAAAAGCATGTCAATTGCATTCCATTGTGAAAATAATTGTTGTTTATGTACATTATAATAAATATGTTAAAACCAGTTGCATGCTGATTATACGATCAATGCACAAACTAAATTAAATTTCGATAGATGTTCGGCAAGGTTTGTGGTATGATGAACGTATAGAGATGTGTTAAAATCTAATTTGAAAAATTATACGTGCAATATGGTAAATGACATGTTTGTATTGTCTACATACATATTAACAATATTGGAAAATCGAGACCGAATAAGTCGGGGTTTTTAACATACTGTTTTTAAGTTGTTGTCTTTGATTTTGCACTTATTTTGGTAAAGTCTATACCCTTTTCCTTGAAATAAAATTGATCTGAAATTAAATTAGATTAAAATCATAAATTGGCCACCCCATGAGAAAACAAACATAGTGCAAAATTTCGCATTTTTACTTTTTATACAATAATTCCCACTTACCAAGGTACAATGTTTATATCCTGTATGTATTTAAATGTTTTTTAAATATTAGTTCAAAATAGACAGGTATATAGCCATTGACGTCCTGAAATCATTAGTAGAACGTTACGTCAAAACGTCAAAATAAGGTAAACAGAAAGATCAAACAAAAATGCTACAAATACTGCAAAATGGTGCATTTATCATAATTTGTACACAATTTGTATAATTACTTTTATCTAGCGCGTTCTACCAAAAACAAAGAAAGAAAGAAATAGTGCTCAAAGTATCTTCGCTTCGGTCTGTTTAATGTTTATGCTCTGATGGATCAGTAACTATAGAAGTAGGAGATACGGGAAAGTATTGTGTACAAATTCTTCAAATGAAATGAGTTTTGCAGAGAAAAATCAATTGTTCAAACAAACAAAAAAACATATTGCAATCCGTTGGTGTAATGCTCGTTCTGTAAAATGTAAGTCACGGTTATTTACCACTTTATTTTAGTGGGCCGATAAAAAAACCCATAATAATGCCTTCATTGGTGGTGATCCTGAAATTTGTATTATTTCAAAGTCAGCTGACACTGACATAAAAAAAAGAAGAAATATATTTGTGTAAATTATAACAACAATGTTAATATGTTTACATAAATCAAAGTTTTCTCTGCATGACTTCTATTACTATACAGTATATTTTAAGTTACGGTAATATACCTTTTAACACGTGTGTAACATTGCATTAAAATGACGTTTATACGTATCCGCAGTATATAAACAAAATCACTGTACCCTGTCTTGTGAGCCTATATAATTCACTGTGTACCCTGTCTTGCGAGTAAAAGCACATGTAACTTCCGATCACTGTACCTTACTTGGGAGCCTATATATTTTAAATTGTACCTTACTTGCGAAAACAAGAAGTAGACTTGTTTATACTGTGGTATCCATTTGTGGCATAAGTTCTTTTATTTAGTCGTCACTAAATGTACATGTATAAAGGGAGAATATATCTTGTATAAAGTTGCTCACACAATAAAAATTAAACAATGAAGATTTGTATTAACACGAGTATTGTTTTTTGTTTTGTTTTTTGTGAAATTATGATAGACTTCATTTGCATGTTATTCTTCTCACATCTAAAAGTCATTTTCGTTTTTCAGTTAAAATGCTCTTCTTTTGAGGTTTGCGAGTGGCAATGACCGAACGTATCTTTGTAGGCGATTTGAAAGCATGTTAAGTTATCTCTCTCCAGCTTAATTGCTGTAGCCTTATATTCATTTATCTTCTTTACTTCTTACATGTTCTTGTTGTTTACGTGCTTATAGCTGACTGGGAGAAAAACAAATCAGTAAGTAGTTAGTGAAAATAAATTATACAATTTATAATTGGTAAACCATTTTGAAAGCATTCTGATCTAACCAATAGGAAAATCTAACAATTTAAGCGCAAATTATTTACAAATTGTGCGATGTAAAAGATAAGAGGCGTACTGAAATTTAAGTTAACGCTTTAGAGAATATCTCCAGTTAAATGTATAAAAACGTTATATTAAAGTGAAGTTAGTCATGCATGTTTGAAATACCAAACGTTTTTCTCTTTCTATTTGTAAATGTTCATAATTTACTGGTTGTATTGCTTACGTAATGTCCTTATACGAAAGTAAATTTAACTATACATGTCCAGGTAAAAGTCTTAAAATGACACTTATTCATATAAATAACAAAATTGTTGATATAAAGATAGTCCATTAAAGTGCAAGCTTTATAAACTGTCGTATTTTTTCCGGCCTAAAATGAGTAAATGATAGGAGCTTTCTAAGACCCCATACAAGTGTTGTTTCTATCTGTTTTACTCAGTTGACTGCAGTCATAATCTATTGTTCCTGGCCATGTTGTCATTTCTTTTTATAACAAAATCGGCTGATTTTTTTCTTTGGTGGATATGTTAACACCTTCACAATTTTATGACTTACTAATAGACATATATAAATGGTTATTCAAACGGTTCTCCATTATCCTAAAGGTATTGTTGAAAATCGTTTGCGACCATATCTGTTTTAATTTTTTAATTCTTTTACATTCATCTTAATGATTATTATCATTTTAATTATCTGATAAACCAGTTTTTCATTAGCACAATACGAGTACTTATTTAAAAGTGTTAATTAAACAAATATACGATTCGTTTAAATGACAACCATTTTTTAAACAGAACAAATCCCCTAAATTCAAAACAGTGGCGCTGCTTGCCGCCTGCTGCATTATTCCTTAGTGTTTCCATACGGCCTATGTTTTCTTACCTTATATTCCACAGATTTTCCATTACTTTTCTGTATTGGAGTATTGGTCAGTCCTTTTTTACTTTTCATGCCATATAATTGAACAGTTACTGGTAAATTGGCCGGGTTTTTTGTTAAATATGTGACGCTACGGATCGTTGAACTTGGTCCGTTTTAATGCATTTAATATACCATTACAAAAATATCATTAACCATGATTACGTGTTGACAAAAAAGGAGCTAAAGAAGACAGTGCTGAACATCCCTGCAGTGAAAAAAATGTACAGCGCTTGCATTCTTGCTATTAAAAAAAATGTAGCTCTGTTTAAAATATTTCTGAAATATTAGCTAAACAATTAATTCAAATAATATAAATAAATGAGATGCAGACATGTTTTATTGCCAAACTGCGTAACAGATTAACATTTATAAATTACTTAACTTTTAAATGTCATACTGTGTTTATTTAAGGATAGATACAAATACTCTACTAAAATGAATATTTGTTTAAAAAAATGAGTAAAGTAATTGCAAATAAACGAACGCATGATAGATTCTCAATAAGCCACAATTTACTACTTAGACGAGAGTGGGCGAGCATGAATTTCAGTTCGTAAATTTATGCAGAGATATCTGTAATTTAAACGTTATGTAATATGATGGTTTGATGAAAACATTTCATAAATACATGTGTTTCGGGATTTTCTGTTCTGTGTCGAAAATATATTACAACGAGCCATAGATATAGTGAGCGAGACAACGTGCACTGACTGAGGTAAGTAGGAATTGTGTAAGCGGTAAATTATTAAACAGCGTGCATATTTTGACGTCAGATCCATATACAGTTTTCTCGGTGACGTCATTTTCTGCACTATGTTGGTTTTCTCTTGAGGCTGCCCAAATGTCATTTCAATTCCGTAAAATTCTATACAAAATGAAACGAAAAGTGTTTTTAATTTGCTTCACATCCGAGCCTACATTTGCTAGCACGCGGCGATGGCAACTGCAGATAATCTTAACAGCTAACAGTTTAAGTAAACATAAACCAAACAACAAAAACAACCCTAAAGCAAACGAAAAGTAAATAAATAAAAATAAATGAAAAGTTAGAATAAAGCGCACAAAAACGAATCGGGAAGAATAAATATTCCCAATAAACGCGGTTATCATTGGTTGCTTTTTCAAATCATTCAATTAAGAGTACAGGCTTTAGTATTATTCATAATCAATTTTAGCAAAGTATTGAGCTACATCTTACAATGATAGTTTAGGTATGTATGTTTTAAGTTGATACATGAAAAAATGAATACTTTCGTAAATTTGATTTACATAATTAAAATAAGTATAATTATGACTAAAATTATTTTGACTATGTAACTAGAATATGTACTTTTATCATTGAAATCATAAATTTGATAATTCTGATAATAACTAGAATAAGTAATTATCACCATTGAAATCATAAATTTGATAATTCTGATAATAACTAGAATATCACCATTGAAATCATAAATTTGATAATTCTGATAATAACTAGAATAAGTAATTATCACCATTGATATCATAAATTTGATAATTCTGATAATAACTAGAATATCACCATTGAAATCATAAATTTGATAATTCTGATAATAACCAGAATAAGTTTTATCATCACTGAAATTATAATTTGATAATTCTGATAATTACTAGAGTAAGTGTTATTATCATTGTAAATACAAATTTCATAATTTTGACAATTAATTCAGAACAGAATGTTCTATTCTGTTCTGATCATTAATAGAATAAAAATTATCACCACTGTAACTCGATTATCACATCTATTATTGATGATGAAAATTTTGATAAAAAATAATATTTTTGACAAAAATTAAAAAAATTAGTTTCAATACTTTTGTTCTAATACTCATAACCATGCAGTCCAAGAAAAATATAGTTGGTTAAATATTGGTAACTACAATATATTTGAAAGTTAACTATGATAGACATCCATCAGTAAACCGGGTTTACGAGATTATTTTTATTTATCAGTTCCATGTTTATTGAAGTACAAAACATTTCTGGCGTCATAATATACTCTATTTATAGACAAAAGACGGGAAGAATACAAGATGAAAGTAGCTGTTTTTGTATTTTTGGCCTTTCTATCCTGCTGTTCTGGGACTAAAGACGAAGGTAATACATTATGTATGGGTTAATGCAGTTGTAATGTAGATATCTTACAAGAGTTGTAACTGTAAATGGAGTTTGGATAAGAGAATAAGGAATATGGGTAGCATTTTAGACACTGTCTTGTTATATAAACATTTTCCACATTTTTCTTGATGCTTATTAAGATCCTGGGCAAAAAATACCATAAAACTGTATTGTTATGGTAGCTAAATTTTCCTCGCTGTCAATAAGAAATGCCCCTTTTAAAGTCAAATAGGGTCCTAATTAAAAAGTTGCATTTTGATGGCTGAGTCTCATTCTCTTATCAATATATTGCATTTTCCCGCATAAATCTTATAAAATTATCATTTTCATGTAAAAGGCTGTTCATTTCTACTATTTAATTTTTATAAATAGCTGTTTGTGATCGAAGATTGTACGACCCTACAGTCAAGATTTGTTGTAACGGCGTCCTCAGTTCTAAAGGATTCAGCACAGCATGTTGTGGAACAAGACCGTACAATTCTTCATTCCAGATATGTTGCAACGACGTCCTTAGTTCTAAAGGATTCAGCAGTGAATGTTGTGGAACAAGACCGTTCAACCCTACTTTCAAGATTTGTTGTAACGGCGTCCTAAGTTCTAAAGGATTGAGCAGTGTATGTTGTGGAACAAGACCGTACAACCCTTCATCCCAGATATGTTGTAACGGCGTCCTAAGTTCTAGAGGATTCGGCAGTAGCTGTTGTGGAACAAGACCGTACGACCCTTCATTCAAGATTTGTTGTAACGGTGCCCTTGGTTCTAAAGGATTCAGAAGTGCATGTTGTGGAACAAGACCGTACAACCCAACCTTTAACAATTGTTGTAATGGATATTTGTGCTAGAAGTCTTGTTAAGTTCGTTTATGTATTGAAACTTTCATTCCTTTGAAAAAACAACAGCTTTTAACCTAAAAGTTCAATAGTTGAAAAAGTTGGAACACATGAAAATGGACAGCTTTTTTCAAATTAATGTTATGTAATTGGTTTAAAAGTAAATGATCGATAACAATTTTTTATGTTGTTATTTGATCCTCCCAAACGAGCATAAATGATTTATTCTATTTCCCATATACATGTATCACTTTAGACTTAAAATTTCATATTGCATGTGACGTCGCTTTTCGAGAACAGTTTAGGCTGTTTCGTATATTGACTGATAGAAGGGACCAATAACAAATAACCGACGGCAAGAAAAAAACTTGTCGTGGTACTAATATATTACAATATACTTTTTTTTGTCAAAAATAAATTTCTTTGAATAAGTGAGACATCAGGAAAATGCTGCCGAGGTATATTGCTTGATTTTATTAACCTGTCAATTGCATAAAGAGTATACGGTCAGTGCACACAATATATTAATCTTCGATAAAATTTCGGTAAATTTCGTGAGATGTGAGTAGCAAGATGTGATTAAATTAAATTTTCAACGAAATAATTACATTGACCGTTATAGCGCAATAGGAAAAACTGCAGTTTTATCATTAGGCCAGTCATAATAGAAATTAAGGTAAAACTAATTCCTTCACAAATGTTTTCACGATCAAATAAAAGATAAACATTATCTACATTTTGAGAAAAAAGTCCTCAAAAAATCTCCTTGCAGACTCCTGAATAATCGATCATAAAGATTTAGTAAAAATCGATATTTAAATGTGTCTCTTAAATTACACCATACTTTAATTTTATGCACGTTCGGTGACGTCACGTTTATTATATTTTCGTTGAAAGATCTGAAGTTACTTCAATTCCAGCATTCCTAGTGCAAAGGTGAGTAGTTTTAGTCATTTTTATATTCTTCTGTATAAATTAGGGGAAAATATGTCAGCAGATAGATATAATCGACCACAATCAATCGATTATGCAGATGACAAAATGTGTCATATAATTTCGCGATTTTAAACACAATTTTGAATGAAGTAATCATTAAAAGAGAGTTTATCTTTTACTCGCTGTTCTATATTGTTTCCTTTTGTACAATTATCTAAAATGACAAAGAATTAACCACACATCTTACTGAGTATTTAAAAAAATGTGTATGCACAAGTTATGTAAATTTTTCTTTCTACGGAAGCGTGCTGTGACCAAAATCACGAAAATCTAGGGATATTTTTAAAATGTTAAATTTGACTTATTTCAAAGAGTTGGCATGTTTTATGAATTGTGGAAATCATTATTAAAACAAATAATATGTTAACTTGATGTAAACAAACGTATTTCGTAGTACATAATGCATTTCTAAGCGAAATGATAATATTCCAGCATGTTACATGAAAAATAGACAGCGTATCCAATAGGGTGTAATCAAGCTAAAACTATTACCTATTAATGAGGAAGTTGTTACTGCAACTTTATACATTACTTTTACTTCTTAACAGAAGACATGGATTTAAAACCCAAATTATTATGCCATTTATTTGATTTTTTTTTGTAGGCTCAATCATATCATATGCATCTGAGAGTATGGGGTTATAGCAAATCAAAAGATAATTGAGCGTATTCACTTGAAATATTGTAAAATAATTTTAAATGTTAGAGCCAATACAAGCAATGTTCGTATATACGGCGAACTCGGCCGTTACCCATTGTATATAAATCGATACGTAAGAATACTTAAGTTTTGGTGCAAACTGATAAATACTGACAATATAATTTTACGGAAAACATATGAATTAAGTTAATCTGATTGTTATAAAGGTAAAAAACTGGGTATCAAATGTTAAATAAATGCTAGATATATTTGGTTTATTCGAATACTTTTTTGAAAATAATATCGTAGATAGTAAATTATTTCCAAAAATATTTAAACAATGAGTTATTGATAATCATATGCAAATATGGCATTCATCTGTAGAAAATAATTCTGTTTTACAACTTTTTGTAGCTTGACAATCTACCCTCATGATACTCGTGCTAGTTGTATGTATATTTTAAGTAATGTTTTCCATGTTGTTGTCAGCATTTATAGAACAGTTGATGTATAATTAGTTAGAAGATGGATAGACACGTGACTTCTACACAAGGGGTAATGGGATGTGAGAGAAAAAATGACTTTTTACGTACATATATCTTATCGAATAAATGAAAACAAAACAATTGGGTGTCTTTCAGGTTTGTTAATACAACAGAAATTGATATATCAACACAAATTTACATCATAGTTTTACAGCATGATTATAATAAATGCACATACAAACGAGTTTGCTCACCAGGCGTTTCCCTATTATATCATTTCAATACTATTTCTTTTGAATATCTTTTTGATAATGTTTTATGGACTTTATATATCTTATTTTCAGAGGAAGGGCTAAACATAGTACGGGATGGTTGATTGCAGAAGACAATATTTAGCGAGAGTCCAGCCTTTTATATTTTGGCGAACAATTAGTTGATTGGATGTGGCAAGAGTGTTCCATATTTCCAAGTTAGGAGAGGCTAAATGGGTTCTGTTTGAAAAGATCCAGCATTTTTGAAAAGTAATTAACAGGTAAATCAAAGAAAAACCTTCTATATATTAAGACACAGTTGGTGTACCAGATTCAATTTTGTGTGCTACTGCATATATAACTTTTCTAAAGGGAATTCACATTTGTAAAAGTTAAATGGTTTTCTTTTAAAAGTGTTTTATATTTAGTGTCCAAAACTGCAGTTTTCTTACATTCTCGGAATTACTAACATCAGAGATTTGTTTGTTGGTTTTTATGTCACATCAACACTTAAAGTTACATTAAATAAATTTCATAAAAAAAGAAATAGCGACATTTCATTAATAAATTGGGTTTCATATCGACTCCAGATCTTATTTTGGTGTCCAGGCAACCAAAATGAGTTTAATGAGCATACAAATGTGCAACCTCATTGTGGCGAATTCGGAAGTACAATTTCTGTTTGCATGAGAAACTCCGCCTTCAGATCATCCGTACATCAATATTAAATCAACAAACATGACTATAAGTAGCAGTCCTAATTTAACGGTATTTTCATACAAATTTAATCTGTTTTATGAGATGATTATTTTTTCTGAACCACAGGCCTAGTGCACCGTGAAGCTTAAACGGTAAAAGTGTGTTTGCACAAGAAAATCTTATATTTGCTGTGTTCCGGATAGCAACTATAACTCCGTGGCGTAGCGCATGCACGAGCTGATTATAGTCTTCATTTGCATGTTAAAATTCGTATACGAACGTTAGTGTTACCGTGGGGTTTTCCATTTAAAATCCTAATTTATAAACAATATTTGATGAGATTTACAACGATACTGTTAAAAAGGTTAATGAAACTGTAGAATGCTTGGCTTTTAGGTGAAGGAAAAAGTGTGACATAGGTATTATTTTTAACGCGTAGAACCACCAATATTCTATAAGTTAGTTTGGGATAGCTATGTCAGATAATAGATTCCAAAACCCAGGCAGGACTCGAACCTACATCGTTAACACCGTAAGAAGCAAGTGTTTTGAAGTCAGTAAAACACTCGACCAAAACTTCCAATTTAGTTATCTGTATGAAAGTATAGGTGCTGTTTTGTTCAGTATTTCCTACTTATATGGCACATTATGATGTTTCACAGTCAGCGCTTATTTCAGCCGATAGGCAATTTACACGCTTTATATTTGTTATAACAATATAACATGAAACATATTTTCTAAAGAAGAAAGCTGAGGCACGTTTTTGCTGAGGCTAAACGTGCCTCATTAATGTATGAATTATTTGAAGATAATTCAATATAAAAATATAAATCTAAAAGCACAATCCTATCTTGCTTTTCACAGTACCTACATTTTCAGTTTGACATACAATTGTTTTATTTTAAAAGCAGGATGCAAAGTTCGCATTTTTATTTATCATGTTATGTTGTAACAATTTTACAGATGCGAAACAATGTGTCTCTGTGAAAAGGGCAGGCTAAAAGTTTCAACAGCACCGGCCGAAAAAGTGGAGATGTAATTTCAGCATTGAACAAGGGCAGGGCAATATGTATATATACATGTGTAGCGTTGTCAGACTATATGGCTAGTCGGGCCTCGGTGACAAAAATGATGAAATAACATTGTGTTTTTTCAGTGTCTTAACATTCAGAAGATTCATTTTATTTTAAAATGTCTTTTTACATTAATTTATTTTACAAAACTTCCATGGTAAAGTAAGTGCAATTTAGCATTGGTAAGATATTTACTTGAACGATTGATTTTCAGAACAGAAATACAAATACAATGCATATAAATAATAATTATTCGTGTAAAATGTATTGCAATTTTGAATTATAATATTAATTTAGATAGATTCATACAACTTTATTCTTGGTAGTGCTAACTTGTAAGAATATTTAATGGAATCTGACTTAAAGTAAAAAAAATAATTTTATCATTAGTGGGTGGGGTAATGTTTTATACCAGTCTAAATGATGATGTATAGATTATGCAGTGTTGCGACTTTTTTAATGTAATCAACATTGGTTGAAGTGTTTTGGATTAAATAAAGCAAGTTTGTGTATTAAAGTGTTACTTTGTTAATGATCATATTTGCGTAGAATATCTGGGTTATTTAATGTCACAGATTTTTCTAATTGAAAACACATGATTTCAAAACATGACATTTTTAGCATTTTATACTTCGAATTTTTTTGAGGACTTTTTTCCTGTAGCAACACATATATAGTAGATAACAAATATGCAAATATCTTTTCTGAAGGAATTTGTTTGAGGTTGGGTCTTATTTTTGGCTAAAATGCCTAGCCTACATTTCTAATGTCCTACTTGTTTAAAGATCGAGACCGCGTATGTCCATTTTTTTCTATTTATAACTATTAACATTATTGAAGCTATGATGTTTTATGTTGTCTTTTTTGTTTTTAATATGTTTTGCACTTATTTTGGTAAAGATTACACTCTTTTTAAAAAAAACATAGTTTAAGAATTAATAATTAAAATTCATTCGGATTAAAATCAATAAATGTCATTTCAGTGCCGTAAAATAAAATACAAAACGACACAAATCAGTGTTTCTAAGTTATTTA